CACCCAATCCCCGAAGAATGTACGCTACTGAAAGGAGCAAACAAAACCAATATTTGAATTCCTTTCCTTAACACAGTCCACAATTCCAAGTGTCTCTCATTGTCTCTCACCGGCTATTGCTTACAACTGCAAGCATCCTAAAGCTTGTCTAATATTTTAAAAGTAAAAGATTTTCTTCACCATTAGAAATTTGTTGTTCTTTGGAGTAGATTTCTGGTTTAGCAGATTTCGTCACGTGTCCATCCCTAGTGTGTATGTTTAGCAGAAAGCTATGTGGAAAGAGAAGAAGCGCAAAAGTTGAAGGGAGGCAGTGACAGGTGCATTGGCCGCTAGTGGCAGGGCGTGGCCCTCTATTCCAATCCCTCTCTCTCTCTCTCTCTCTCTCCCTCTTTAGACAAGTGCCGAAAAAAGTACACACGCACGCCATGTAAACAAAGCATAAACACTTTAATGCACTGTTTAACGCACACACACAAGCACAACCACTTCCACACTGAGATACACACTCACATACAGACATACAGACATACAACGATATTTACGCGCTTACCAAAACGCAATGCCTGCTGGCAAAGCGGAAAAGTGGAACTGCAGATGGCAACTGGAGCCCAAGCATTTTATAAAACGCATTTGGCGTTAAACCGCTGCTCATAAATATTTTCCACACGGCAGCGTGTTAGTGTTGCTATTGCAGCTTTAGTTGTTGTTGTTGCTGTCGTTGTTGTTGCTGTTGTCGTTGTTGTTGCAGTTGCTGTTGCTGTTGATAGTCCTGCCGTCGCTGTTGCTGCTGATGTTGCCAGCGAGCAGTGCACCATGATTACCAAGGATTTTCACTGCTTTCCGCATGTTTTGCTGCACGTTTAACTGAATGCAGCACTTTTTTGATTGTTCATGTTGTGGTGCATAGTCGTTGTTGTTGTTGTTGTTGTTGCTGTTTCTGTTGCTGCCGCGTACAGTTTATTATTATACAACTTATGCATGTAGCGTTAACGCCAAGAGCTGTTGGCTTAACTTTTAAGGGGGCGCCTAAAAATAGGCAACACTTCTTTAACTCTCCATTTCTAAACATCTTTCAACTGTTTCTTTGAACGACTAATTATATTATGTAGACCATACTACTTATATAATACTACTTATATAATACTACTTATATAATACTACTTATATAGTACTTATATAGTATATGTATTGTCCAATACAGAATTAAATTGTATTTATTACATATATATAAATTGTGGTTTTTATTCAGAAATTGAAATCAATATTGAACAAAAAATACTATATTCACCAAATTGTTAAGTAAGATTAGTTAATGTTGAAAGTAGCCTGCAGTTCAGTTTTCTCTTTCTACTTCTTACTTTTTCTAATTAGTTCTTAAAAAGAATTAATTTTCCTCCTCTATCTACTTTTTGTATAATTTTTTAGGTCTATAATATCTCTGACCACATATGGCTGTGAATCGGGGCATAGCTGGCCAACTGGCAAATAAAATTCCCCCAAGGAGTCGGAGGCATTAATAGACGTTAGTGTACAACTTTGTGTTAGGCTTTCTTATCTTTTAAGTTTAGTTTAAATTGTTATAAGTTATATTATATAATCGACAGAATTATTGTTGATATTCTAAATAAAAACAAAATAATAAAATAAAATTTTTTGTTCAGAAATGTTTTTTTTTCAATGTGCATTCTGCATAATTTCCTTATTTCAATGTGCAGCATAACTTTAAATAATTAATTTCATTTGAATCTCAATACTAATCCATTCCCAATTCGGATCACAATTCTAAACAATCAAATAAATAATCAGTGAGCATTGCGCGAAAACTCACAATCGGCTTAAAAGTCGGCCAAGCCGGCATAATGCATGATACAAAATTGTGTATGCCTGAATCTCTGTATATATACCCATGTGTGTGTGTGTGTGTGTTGTGCACTTGTCCGCTTACGTAATATGTGGGCTCGGCTCGCGTCTGTGGCTGCATTTGAATGAATGTATTCATGCGAAACTCACACGATTGCCAACCACGAATCATTTTGAGGTTGATGGCATCCGAAGCCGCAAATGTATCAAGCCATGGCGGCGTCAAACTCATGGCTGCATGTTTGGTTGGTCGGTTGTTGCAATTCACTGATTTGCCTCGTTAACACACACTATACACATCCATAAATTCGTAATGTTTTAAAACATTCCTTAGACAGAGACGCTGCAGTTTATTTTTAAAATATACCAATTAAGCTTAGATTAGCATCAAAGATGGATTAGTTTACTTTTATCACATAACGCGTCGAAGATCATCTTCAACCCATGTTTAACCGCGAGAGTGACATTATCTAGTTGGGACCAACCTGAATCCTTCATTAAATGCGACTCAATTAACTCGCTGTCTGATAAAGCACTGAAGTGTAATTGAAAAACTTTGATAGATTATGCATAAATATTCTCAATACATATTTTCATTCTGAGAGTAATCCTTTTTCACAGCGATTGTAAAAGAATTTGTAGTTCCAACTTCTCAATCGAGCTTTATTTTGTGTCATAAATTTATGCACAACGAGCAACCTTCAAGCTCAGAAACCACACGATCCTATTTTTTTCATTGTATTAAAAAGCCATTTTTTACACGCGCCTTTTAATCATCGGCCGAACCTAAAACTGAACAAAACCAACGAAGGACCCTTTTCAAGCAAAGTAACGAACAAAACAAAACCTACATGCACATAAATAACGGCATTGTGGCCGACAAGCTTTCAAAATTGTTCAAAATTGCAACAACGGCGACAATGGGACAGCAACAACAGCACAAACAGCACCAACAGCACCACCACCAACAACAACAAAAACAACATTAAATAGATGGAACCCACGAGACAGAGCAAAAGAACTGAATAGAATGGCAGCCGCATCCATTTGTGACTTGACCCAAAAAATGGTATCAAGTACTTAGTCGAAACAAAGCAACAAGAAGCAGTCCCTTTCGAAAGTCTGATACCCTCAGGCAAGCATTCAAATTTCTCATATGCCCACAAAAAGCAAAGCAATGACACCGCTCTTACATATTCTGAAGGTTGGCCCATGGCCTTGGAAGACTTCAGAAAGATAGATGTGGGTTCGCTCAACCTCCCCCCACCCACTAGCAACCTCGGTTCCCAAGCATCTTTATCTTCTTTGCATCGCATGTGGTTGCCATGGAGCCCAGTTTTTTTTCATTCAATAATTTGGCAACATTATCATGCGAATTATTTTCACGCATTCCATTTTCAGCCTGTCTGTGTCTAATTAAATGTGAAATTTCCAAATAAGCGACCACATCTGTTACGCATGAAAGTACGCAATGCAGACAGACATACAAATACTCGTACATGTCTGATTTTTCCATCTTCGATTTCTTATTTATTTCATTTGCAACAAAGGAAGAATATTCGTCAATAAAAATTATACTCCTGTTAGATTTTTAGAAAAGCTACAGTCGGCTGCCCCAACTTTGAAATACTCTGTACCTAAGCGTAGAACAGTTATAGAAATTAAGAAAATGAAGAAACTTGCAAAATTTAGTAACCAAATTGTTATATTCAAAACAATATGTATTAGGAAATAAACATAAACAAGCCTCGCAGTAATCTGTGCCTGTTCCAAAGCAATATAAGATATAGTGTTATGATCTCAAAACATCTAGTTTTTCTTTATTACCCATTACCTGTTTTGCATTTCAATATCTTAAAAGCTAAGAAATTGTTAAACAAAAACCCCCAGCTGCATTTGTTGGCATGTATAATTTATTTTTGCTGTAATTTTAATGTAATTTTATGTTTGTCATCAAGAGACGTAGGGCAACAAGCGGGGCTTTCATAGCTCCTTGATCTTTGAGGGGTTTAGTTTTAATTTTTACAGACCTATTCCTTATTGATCTGCCCCTCAAATTCCAAGTAAAGACATTTTCATATTGCTCGGATACTCTGTGAATGAACAAGTTCTGATTAACCCGAATTTGCGGTATAAATGTTTAATCGGTTTTATGATGTGTATAACTTTTTAAGAGAAAGTAATAACTTTTTTGTTGAGCTCTTAAAACATGAAAGCGATTGTGTGTGAAAAAGACTTAAAGGAATTCTGATTGGTTGGATTTTGTGAAACATTTTGAGGTTTCTAACAGAGCTTCGACCAGAAGCAGTTCGCATTGTGGAAAATATTTTTGTCTTTTCCATGAAATGACTTTTAACACGCATATATACATATATAAATATATTCATATAGATCCATTTATTTATTTTAAATGTTCGACCTCTTTGGTTTTTATTCAGCCAAAAAATGGCAAAAGTTTCGTTAAGGCTGCATTGGGTTCATGGCTCATGGACCTGGCAGCCATAAAATGTTTAACCAAAGTACACAGGTACATAGCTTTTATGCACACACATACAGCTATATAGCATAGTGTTTATATACACACATACACACACACGTGTGCGAGTAAAAACTCAGCCACACGTAGTTGCGGTTTCAATAATCAATGAGTTGATTTTATGAAATTTCTGTTCACCTCACATTCGATGTTGGCGCCAGACCGCGTCATGCCGATGCATTTTGGGTTAAAAATATGCTCGCATACACACAGCCATACACCCATACACCCATAAACCCATACACACATAACCACATACACTCGTGGAGCTCGAAAGCGCCAGTGTCGGTGTGTGCGTGTGTGTTTGAAATTTTATTAACGGCGCTTTGGAATTTTTCGCATAATTTTTGCATTAAGCAGCAGCGCCGAAAAGGCAAAAAAGCTGTTGATTGTGCCTGAAAAGGTCAAATGAATTTTAATTAATTTTTTAATTAATATAACCGCAAGCTGTTGGCAACCATCACACATACACATACATACTTGCACACTTCAGTGTGACCCAGAAATACAAAATGAACATTTTGAAAGGGACTGCAGAGTGGCAGAGTATTGTAAAAGAATTATTGTTAATGTTTTTCCGTTTCTTTTCTTCTCTCTATTGCAGAAATACAGTATTTAATTTAAGTATCCATGATCTCGCTGAGCAGCAACGTCTCCTGTGGACGTCGCCGGAGGATGACACCAAAATGTGTCTCGTCAAGGGCAAGGATGAGGTAAGTGCTGGCTACAAGATGATGACTTAGTATAACGTTTTCCTATTGCCTAAAAAGGGTACCTCCCTAATTATTTATATTTTATGTTTATAGAAAATTAGAAAATATTTTGCGACTTCTTCTATGTTTTCTAATTGTATCTAATGGAAATTTCCTCTGACGAAATAGCCCAATAAAATTCGTATGCGTATGAAAAATGTTTAAAATAGAAAGATCGCCCTATTGTTTGTGCTTAAATTTTACGAATGTAATTGCTTACATATAAATAGTTCAAGATAGGTTTTAAGACGAACAACAATACTTTTCCAAGGAAGGTCCAGAGTGAACTACTTTTATCTTTTATTCCAAATACAAATTTCGTTTATTAATATTCTTCGAAGCTGAACTTAGAAATAAAAGCATATTTATGCCATGTAATGGCTGGACCCGTTGTCGATTTCTATCTGTTCCTTTCTTCGATCCTTAAGTCCTGTTTCTAGTGTTTTTTGTCATTTTGAATTTTCATTGATTTTCTGCGTGCCCCAAACATAAATTTTTCTTGTACTAAATACCTTACTTTTCAATACAAACTAAGTGTCTTTAAAAATGTTTACAGTTATTATTTTTATTTGAATCATTTTTATTTTTACTTTCAATCAACACGCTATTCAACTAGATTAAAAGGCATCCCATGTCTCCGCATTGTTGAGATTCTAAAGAGCTTTCTCTTTCCCCGTCCTAACACCTGAAATAATATTTTTCAACTTGTTAGTAGCACAAACCAAAAACCACTTGGTAAACTTTTTACACTTGGCTGCGATGCAATTCCCATTACCATTTGTCGTGTTTTTTTCTTGTTTTTGTTTGTTCTGTTTTAGCCAATGTTTCCGTTGCACAAGCAACAACAGAAGCAAAAACAACAACAACAACGACAACAACAAGGCAATAAAATGTTTTCCGCTCTCAAATTCTATCGCGCTAGCCAAAAAAGGAACAAAATCCCGCTTGTGGCATAGAAATTGATTTATGCCACTTTCTTGCTTGTTTTGTGCGAAGACATTGGAAATTTATTGAAAGCGCACTGTTGACCCATTAAGTCAAGGCAAAGTACGCGTAGCTAAGAGCAAAACCAAAAGCATGGAAGGCGAAGGAAAGTCCGAGCATAAACAAACAACAACCAGAGACACAGCAAGGATAATTGAAGTGAAGTGAAGATTTGAAACTTTTGGCCACAAGATTTTAATGGAAATGTTGAATAGTTTTTGACTACGACGACTTCTTCATCAACAGCTGCAACGTTCGCCGTTTCTCCATCCGTTTCCGGTCAGGCAAAACCGAAATGGCGTACTCAAGGTGAAATGAAGGACGCGCTCGCTCGCTGGCTCGCTGGCTGGCTGGCTGGCTGCCTGCCTGCCTTGCATGCTCAAGTGCACTTTGCAGCGCTGACGTAATTAGGCAACACTTGTTTTAAGGCGGCACCAGGGCGTGTCTGCAACAACAGCAATAACAAGAACAAAAATAACTACAACAGGTGTAATTTGTTTTACCCAATTTGTTGTTGGTGTGTGTATCTCTGTGTGCGTGCGTGTGTGTGTGTGTTGGCTTTTGGCTTGGCTTTTGCCTTGCACTCTGGCCTTCTCCCCCTCGCATGTTATTTACAGCACTCTAGTTGCCAAAGGGTAAGAACTTAGCTTTGCTTTTCAGTTTCATGAAAATTGGCCAAGCACTGTGTGCTCTGAGTCCATGGCGTGTCTGCTTGCAGTATTCGAAAAGCCGCACCCTTTTACCCATTTAGCTTAAACTTATCCAAAAATAAATTGTAATTAACTTAGAGCCAAACATGCGAAGAACTGTGCGTCTCTAAAGTTTACAATTTACAATTTTAATTAGAAATACGCAGCTGAAATTTGCACTAAAAAGGCCGACTAACGAAAATGGCGCACAATAAAAATGCAATGCCCTCAAAAGCCGGCAATATCCGCAGTCCTAACTGCAAAGCATTGCTAAAGTTGTCCGTGTCACGCGATATTCTATTGCACTCCTTCAAAGTAATGCGCAGGGTAATGCTAGAGGAATTTTCAAAATAAAATGTTTAATACTCGGTATTTAAACAAAGTAATGATGATGTCGCTATTTTAAATTTTCTGCATGTTTAAAGGGCAGAAAATCGATCCAGATTGGCCTTAACACGTTCCACCAATTTCACCTTGAACTCTGGCGATTCCAAATCAACCAATAACCCATTATTCAAGTCAGCGGCAGCAATCTCATCTTTATTTATCCTTGACAAGACATCTGGGACCCTTGCGGTGCCCAATTTAAAATTTATAAATATAGTTTGATTGATTTGTATGAAAGTAATGAATAAATATATAGCTTTAAGCTTTATTAATTATTAAACTTAGTAAAAATATCTTGGCGTTGCAAATATTTATGTCTAATTCCAGAAATTAGTTAATAAGATTTAAATGAATATTTTGAAATTATGATGAGTTTATTGGTGAGGTTTATCGATAGGAAGAAGGGAGTATAGGAAAAGAGTTTAATGTTTTACATGGCAGGCCTAACGGGGGTAGGTAGATTTATGGTCAGGTGGGTTGAGTAGTCAGAGAGCCGTTTCCGATAAGCTCAGCTATTTGACCAAGTTCCTGATGAATGTCCTGATTAGTGGTGATAATTTAAATTAATTAATTATACATTCATTTTTGATGTTTCGTGTTTTTAAACCAAATGCGGACACGATTTTTAATGTTTCGTTTTTACTTTTGCCTCTCAAAAATTGCCTTTTATAATCGATGGAAGGGAGGAATTTGAGTCCGCATTCCTGTAAGCATAAGTAACTTGTATGAATTTAAAAAAAAATATTGTATTCCATATTTTAGTTCCCAGAAAAAATAGCATATTTCTCTGGTATATGGAAAGCGACAGCAGCTAAATGATTATCCAGATCGACTTTTGAAGTTAACAAATTGAAAGTGAGTTGTTCGTCAAAGTATAGCTGGCACAATCGAGGTATAGCTTTCAAGCTCTTCTTTTTTCATGGAACATACACGTATAGGAATACCAATACTAGTTTTAGATATATGTATATCACCTTGAATAGAGCCAAAAAAGAATTATATTTGGCCGGGGACAAAGCGCCCCGCTTTTATGAGATTAAAAAAAGATGAGGCGATTTTTTATTCACTTTTATAATGACAAGCAGATTGTTTAAAACCCGGCGTGAAATTGCTTTTCAAAGCGCTTCAGTATAGGCTGCAACCATATGAGTGTGTGGGTGAAAGTGTGTATTTGTGTCTATTTGTGTGTGTGTGTGTGTGTACATATTGGCATATTCATGTGTGTCTTACTTTTTGCATTGTCAGCTCGCCGTGGTTGTTAAATTTTTAATTGATTTATTATTTGCCCACAATGTTTTATTAAAGCTGCGTAAACAGCAGAAAAACATGGTCGACATGGCCAGACGTCAGCTGGCGGTGTCTGATGGCTGACGACCACTCGACCGCCCGGCCACTTGCCAAATGAGCAGCGACCGCCCGCCCGTCGGTCAGACACACAAACATATACAAATATTTGTATATATGTATGTACGTATGTACAGCGTGTTGGTCAAGTGGCAAAATACATTTATGCATGTGTATAAAAAATGCGACACCAACACCAACAGCAGGAACAAAAGTAAACATTAAAAGCGGTCAGCCAAAAAAAAAAAAGAAGAGAAATACTACAACTGCCCATTCTGAGGTCGATTCCGTAACGGCAGCTGCGCGCCCAGTCGGTTTGGCCAGAATGGGACGCACATTCCGCAAATTAATTAATAAAACCGAGTTAAAATATTTGATTAAATTGTTGAAGTCAAATATTTTAAGCTTGAGCAGCAACGCATAATGAAATATTTATGCATTTATGTTCTTGCGCATATTTGAAGCTCGCGCCAAGGCATGTGCTTTGGAATTAACTATTCGTCAACTTGATTGGCTTTCGATGTACTTGTAGTTGAGGTTTCAGATGGCACTTTCAATTACTATTAATGGGCATTCTTCACATTCCATACAGTACGAGTAAATAGTTGGTTGATAAGCTTCCTATCAATCGCGTTATTATTTCCCCCAACATTAAAGGGCATATATGATTACTCATATTTGATTTGCCTATGTACTAGATGCTTTCTATATACCGCGGCATAATATGTTCCCTTTCTTAGGAAAAGTGTTACACTAAAAATATATAAATGTATAAATATTTTAACAATTTAACAAAACTGTTATGTTTATGATTTATCCGTGCTCATTCTTATAAGTGTGCTTGTGCGAAACCTCACATAAGTGATAGTCGGGAATCCTTTTTCAATTGCTTGCAGCTTTATCGCTCTACCTCCTGGGTGGCTGGCTTGTTATATGACGCTGCTCTTTGGTCAGTTGCTGCTCTTGGTTGCTATTTGTAGAGCAGATTTTCTGTGATTATACTTTCATATATACACTTTCATATATATGTATACTTCCATATAATTTCAATTTTATTTGAACGTTCGCTTTTTTAAGCATTTCTTCATTTTTGATTCAAGTTATAGCAGAATGTATGCATTTCATTACTTTTTAAATAATCCCGACCTCTATCTTGACGCATTTACTACAACACGAAGCTTTCTGCTATGTCTTATAACAACATGTGGGAACATTCTGCAAATTTCCAAAATATTAATTGCTTAAAATTTCTATAGTTTTTCTGAACTTTTCTTAAATTACTTATTTCGGTTATTAAACCAATCCTGCTGCTTAACAAACTTTTTATTGTATTTGAACCGGATTGAAACCAATTTGGAATCAGTTTGTAATATTTATGCTATAATACGGAGGCAAAAAATTACGCCAACCACATCCACAACCTTTCGACCATGTTTTGCCTTAAATCGTCCAAATATCTTGCAGATACATATTTGTGGCAAGAGCTGGGGCTGCCACCCAAAGCAGTACTACATTAAGCATTCATCATGTTTGGCTACGAAGGGCTGTTTGGTAGGT